AGCAGGAAGACAGACGCCAGACGCACAAGCATGTGGGGACAACAGCCTGACTTAGCGAGATGTTGAACATGTCTTTGAAGACATCAGTGAGTTCCACTGCACAGTCTCTCAGTACACATACAGTGCACATACAGAGGAAACATGTTACTTTATAATAGAACATTATATAACAAGGCCAGCAATACACTAGGAGCCTGAAGGGAGGGGAATTTAGTATCAAGTTTATCTGAAAGTGAAAGCGACGATTGAAGCAATCAGAACCAACAAAATAGCAATAATATGCAAGTGCTGAGTCTCAGTTATCCTAACACAGTATAGGTAGCAGAGTTTTTAAATATTTTTTTTTATTATTATATAGTAAATAAAAAAAGAAGGCCTTTTTTTTTTAAGAAAACAAGCAATTAGAAAACAAATAGAGTGCAAGTCTTAAAGGGTCAAGTGTTTTTTTTATAATAAAAAGAAAACTAATAGGGCCTAGATTAAATAGAATTAGAATAGAGTGCTAGAGTTAGAGGGTCAATTAAACTTTTTTTTTTTTCATTTAACATTTTCATTTCATTGACTATTTTGTTAAACACAAACCTTTATACTTTCATTAAAAAGGCTTAATTTTGCCATTGTAGGCTCATTTTGTAAATGTAAACTATTATTTTAAATTATAGACAAGCTCAAACTGGGTGCTTAATTGGCCACGTTTACAAAATCAGGTGATTATGTTTCGCCCAGATATGCAAATGTATCTTTATGTATAGAGACAAAAGAATAAGGTTAATCACCGTCTGTCGCGTCAGTTTATCGTGATCGCGTATATTTGCATAAACACTAATGAATACACCACAAACATATCTTCAGCTTTTGGTTTTATTTCCCATCAAACACAAAACAAGCAAATAGTGTTAAATATATCTAAATGAATTCAAAGGTTAGTCTATGTCAGTAACCCTTGCGTTTGTTTAATGTGTTGTTGTATAGACGTTTTAAATATAATTTGGCGGTTTTTTGATGATCTGCCGTTGATCCCGCCTCGCGGCGATGACGTCATCACTAGCGCGCGTTTACTCAGTCAGCGTCGAGTCTTCTGAGGAGAGGTGAGCAGATCACGGTATTTCATATATTTAATTTTAGTTTTTTTATTTATCATCGAGTACAGCACTGTTTGTGTGTTTGCCGGCTTAAACACTTAGAAAAACATGTGAGGAAAACGTTAAATTGAGACCTGAGTGATTTCGTGTTTTTGTATGTTCGTGTGAATGATTGTTTCTGTGTTTGTAGAGAATGGATCTCAAGTGTTGCTGCTGCCATTTTATTTCTACACTTTTGACATCTTTGGCAGATTAAATCCGTTAGTTTGTTAAAATATACTTAAACAGACTGCTAACGTTACATTGAGCCTATAATGAGCCACATCCACACATAAATGTTAATACAGCGAAATATTAATCAAATGTGACACTGTAATCATTAAATATTGCTTTGTGGTGCTCTTATTTGAAGATGTTTTATGGTCATTGTTTCTGTACAAAACTTTGAGTTAATTACTTAATTTCAATGAATAGTTATTAGAAAATCTAACTATTTAGATTAGACATGCATATTGTGGTGCTTTACAGCAGTTATTTACTTTAGTGTTTGTTTTTGTGTTTATGTTTTATACTTCAGTTGACGCGCCTAAATCAGTCATTCTGACAGATATCACGTTTTTGACAATTCTGCAAGATGGGATACATTTTTAGCTTATTTACTGCTTAAATTATGATTCAAATAATTGTGTAATTATTTGTTCCATTTTTATTTAAATTAGTTCACACTATTAATACTTTTTAATGCCATACATTATGTATGACAGATAGGATAATTTATTATGCCTATATATTATTAAAGGGGTCCTATTATGCTTTTTCACTTTTTTAATTTTAGTCAGTGTGTAGCACACTTTTAAAACTTTTTAATGCCATACATTATGTATGACAGATAAGATAATTCATTATGCCTATAATTAATATTTATAAACGATAAATCAATTAATATAACATTAATTGTAATATATGCGTTTATCTGTCTAATAATACAAATACAATAGTTACTCATCTACCAAGCTCTGAAAAGTTAAGGAAATGAAATGCTTCTCTGCAAACTGTGCAGATCGCCTGTACATTTATATCTGAGTTTATGCTTTCAACTGTTTTCTTTATACTTCAATTTACATTACATCATTTATTTTCTGTTGTCTATTACTATAAAAACAAACTCAGTAACTCAGTGATGTATTTTTGATTTTGGCAGATAAGCTCCTCCTCCCACATGTTTACTGGTAGTGAAGCTCCGCCCACTGCAACATGTCATCAGTGAAGCTCCTCCCACAGTAATTCACCAATAAATGCAGGAATATCTCCATCAGTTTACAAGTGAAGACCAGCATCAAATCATCCGGAAGAGCTGAAATCTGCAAAGACTGAGTTTATTAAAGAGGACAGAGAGAAGATGAGAGATCCAGAACCCTGCAGAATCAAACACACTGAAGATACTCAAGAACTAACAGGTTGGTGTTTATTCTTCATTCTTCATTAACGAGGCTGAATGTTATAAAGCTTCAAACAGTATTATATTTGTTGTAACAGGAAAAATCTTTAGAGCTGTTGAATAATCTAGAGGAAGCATCATATAAGAAGAGACACACATATTGGGACTTTTTTAGCAAAATTAATGTATGTTATATAATTTTGTTGTTGATCAAACATATTTAATAGTTCTCCCTGTAGAAACATGGGATTTGTGTCTATAATACTTACAAATAGTTAAAGTTTCAGAGACATAATTTATAAAAATGCATAAAAAAGATATATATATATATATATATGTTTACATCAGGGTGCATTTTTATCTTCTTTCACATTTCTCTGTTTTTATGACTAACTGAAAATAATAAATTTTTACTTTTATTTCAGAGTTAAATGAAGAAAATTAGGAGAATGAAGAATCGATTGAAGTTGAGGAGAGAAATCATGTCAAAAGTAGAGAAAAACCTTTGAGTTGCTCTGAAACTAAACAGAAAGATTTAAAGAAAAGAAGAGCCAAGAAATCTTTCACCTGCACTC